ACTTTTATCATCCGAATGTTATTCTGTTGCTTTGTACGTATTTTTAATAGTAACGAATCTTGAACCTATGTAATTTTATTGAATACTCTCGCAAGCTTTTAAACGTTTAAATTTTCGAATAATATCGAGCTCCGCGACGGAATCTACGCGTGAATGAGAAATCGCAATCGTCAAATGCTCATCCCGCTTGGCAAATGGCGTAATTAATGGTTATACACGCCTCCACCCGGCTTTCAACTATCTATACCCATCGAGCGCCGTACATCTGGATCTCGTAAATCACGTCGTGTTTTTTAGCCAAGCGTTTAGGAAAGCAGTTGATTCGTAAAACGAGCCGATCGTCTTTGCAGCTGGTTAACATAATTTAGAAAAATTGAACAACAAATTACAGCCGAGGCTTGTTACACAAAGTCAAAAATATTCGGTGTCTCGCGCATCGTGCTCGCTGTGAAACGTAATAAAAGTTGATCTTTACCCAGAAAGCTTTGGCTTATCCACGTAATAATTACACGAAAAATGATTTACACTGGAGCTGATTTACACTGGAATTGATAATTTCACAACAACGCACGAATAATGCATAACTTCACAACTCGAAAATTACTTTATTTGCAACGAGAGTGGAGAGATACGCAAACCTAACCTTACGCCTGGGCAACGTGTGTATTTATCCCTCGTTATCGTCGGACTACCCGGTAAGCTTGAGCCGACGCGGCGGTACTACGTATTCCAGCCGAAAAGTCAAGATGTTCCGGGAGATAGAGGCTTTCGGTATCGGATCGCGAAGAAGCAGCGGAAACAATCGGTTGATTGCTGACCGTCGAGCCGGAGTGAAACGAAGATCCCAAGATATTCCATAAATGTAAGATGTTCGAATAACTGCGGTTCCGGGCTGGCAGGTTCGGGAAGAAGGAAAAGGAAAGGTAAGGAATGAAATAGCGGCGAGGAGACAGGGAACGAGGGGCGGCGAGGAGCGAGGAGGTGTTGAGAAGGGAGGTGAAAAGAAGAGGGAGGGAACGAGGGAAGAAGAGAGAACGAAAGCCACGTAGCACGAGAGCCATCAATCGTCGCGTGACGTAGACGAAGAGCCGTGGCCCACGGCAAAGCGAACCGACATCAGTCGTCGTCGTCGTTGTCTTCGTCGTCTTCGGCAATGCGAGAGACGAAGCGCTCGGAGGCCGAAGACGCGTAGACGCGCCGGCAGAAGCCGCTACTTAGCAAGCAGGCATGTGTCTTAAACCTGGCTCTCGACGGACCCCCGCCTTTCCTTCCCGCCACCGCAGCGTATCAAAGGGCCGCGTCTCCTTTGGAATTCTCCAGTTGTTAACATTTAACAGTGATGCTTCCCCACGATTTTTGTCGCACATCCCCTGCAGGGCCCACTCCTCTATATCTGTCCCTCTTGTTTATTCCTGCAGGCTCCTCGGTACCGTCGGCCTGTTCCCCGCATTTTATAACGAGACGATTTCAACTAATGTAGGTGGACACCGTGCCGACTACGTTTTTCCATCGGCTTTTTCTCCAGCCGGGGTCCGTCGCGTCGTCCGCGGTTCACCACGAACGCTATCACGACGAACACGAGATCTCGCGCTAAATTATGTTTAATGCACGGGTGATGAATGTTTCTCAACAGCACGTGCATGGCCAATCAACGGCTGGCATGAGAAATGATCCGCGTCTGGTCATTATACATCAGGATCTCGTTCCGATAATTTATTACGGCTTGCTATCTTGTCTGCGGTTTATTTTAATTGTACAAGCGATAAGTACAACAGCGTTGATTCGTGGTAGTCTGGTACTCTCTCTCAAAGCTGTATTTCCAATCGACTTAAATGTTCGTCGTTTCCTCGACGATTATCTTACCGTTTATTGAGCAAGTAAATCTTTCCCCAACCTTCTGAACGAAGAACGTGATCTCACGAGTGGCAGAAACAAATTGTATATATATTTGGTCTTATGTAAGGAACGATCCTAACCTCTCCTATTCATCTCACGCTCTACGAGATATCACTTACGTAAGGCAATAAACGTTTTTCAAACTAGCCACTATGTACATATTCGCAAGAAACAAATTGTACGTGGTCGATGTAATGTAGGAAACGATTCTAACCTCTTCTCTATACCCGCAAGAGACACCACCTGCGCAAGATAATTTTTCGAATTAGCCGCTACGTAGCTACCTCCTTCGGAGTCTCGGCGACTGGAAGCAAAAGAGTCGTCCGTCTCTCGCGGTAAAACGCGCGGGAGGAAGGGTAACAGGGTAACTTGTGAATCCTCCGGCTCTCGTAATGCTTTCGTGAAGACAGGCAGGAGTTGCGGAGGTGGCCCTGACGTTTTTACGACGAGAATTCGTCTCTATAAAACTGTCTTGGCCTTCCTACGCTGTGCCGTGCTTCTCTCTCTCTTTCTCTCTCGACCTTACTTTCCAGACTACGGTACAACGTTGATACAATGGGCCTGGCGGAAAGCAAGAATAGCTGGCTAGCCACTATAGACAGTGCAAGTACAACGAGACACCAGTATGCTTTGAAATCTAGTTGAAAACAGTAGCCAAAATACGACCACTTTCTCTTTGAGTGTACTTACTAATCGGTCCACACAAACACTCCGTTCACATCTTTTCAATTCGCACACAAGAATCCAAGATCAGAATCTAGATATTTCTCAAATATTCTTCTTTTTTCGATCACGTTCTGAAAAAAAAACAAAGAAAAAAAAAATAAAAGATAATTTGTAAATGAAAATGTAATCGGCGTTCTTTAATTTAAATGAAACGAAAGAAACAACAACTTTATAGAATGGGAATATCATACGGAATGGTTCAACAGCACGTTTAATTGTTGGACGTATATAGAATGCAAGTACTGGTTAGTCATGTTACATCGATTAGCTGAAATTGTATCTTTTTATGGTAGCAGCGACAAGCACAGTGTTTCCTGTAAAAAGCTTGTCGCAGTAATTTGAGCCACCTCGATAAATCTTATAAGATAATCGTAGTACAACGCAGCCGTTTCCTTTGTAAAGCAATCACCGGTACCCCTTTTCAGTAACTTGCCTTTTCCTTACCGGAATCAATGAATCGACGGAATCGGTTACGCGGTTGGCAAGATTTACGGGAATTTCGATCGAAGGGATACGTATCCCTTAACGTCATTAGCAGCTGGAAACTTCTTCGAGCGTGGCTCGATCGACTCTTTCCATCTCTCGAGAGGCGACGTTCTTCCCACCAGCGAAAAATCGCATCGAGCGATTCGAGACACGCTTGTCCCGCACTTGGAATGCGAGTTCCTGGGTCGTTCGAATATCAGAGATCGCTCAGAAAAACGTCAGCTGGCTTCTCCGCGACGCGAAATACTTCCCCGAAGCGAGAACGACTGTCGTGTCTGGTTCGTCCACGTATACAGAATCGTTAGCGTTTCGCTTCGGCTATCAGATGTTCTTTCGTTTCTTTGGAAAACCTGTAACTCTTGTCGCCCCGTTTTATCGGCTACGTTTCCTATTTCCTAGATCGTTCGAACGGTTGCTTATTTAGAAAAATGTCTCGACATTTCTCCGTGTACAAACCTAACCTAACCTAATCTTTCTTACGTAGGTACTGGCGTACTTCTGCGAAATCGAATTCAAACTTAATTTCTCAATATTTCTGTTTTAATTTTTCTCTTTATACAGTTTCCTAGTAACCACGTACCTGTGTGTATATTTATGTAAATATTTCTCCTATTTTCTGGCGTTTCACTCTTACTTGACAGTAAACGAACGAGGTCTGTGATTCAAACGATCATAGGTGTCATGTCTGTGTCGCCCACTATATACATAGTGGGAAAAACAGGACTGTCGATAAAAAAGTGTTTGTCGACGCTGTGTCTCAACTAACTAACGAAGCATAGGCGGAAACCACGGTGGGTTTATTGGCAGACCGCGCGTGCACGACCGAGCTAATTAGTTTATCAGTTATGAAAAGACGTATCTCTCATCAAAAGTGAGAGATCGGGGGGCGAAGCGGAGGCCGTCGCGTGAGATGTGACTGTGCGAGTGATACGAGAAGCGTAGCGAAGCGTCGAGCAATACGCGAGGCAGCGCGAATACGCGCAGTAGAATGCAGAGAGAGCGGAGTCTACACTCTCTACTCTAGTGCCGAGAGCTCGCGGTGGCATCGGGCGCGCAGGCCGCGCATTGCATGCTAAATATAAAAGCAGCTTGCGGGCAGAACGGGACGGATCGGAAGAGAGCGCGCGGCGTGGCGTGGCGTAGCATGGCATGGTATGGTATGGCATAGTATGGCGTGGCGTGGCGTGGCGTGGCGTGGCGCGGCGCGGCGCGGCACTACGCGCCGTATGCCTACGCCATCTTGCATGGAAGAGTCATTTGCGTTAGTCCTGCCCACAGAGGGCAGCCTGGCTCCGCCTCCAGTTGCCGGTTGTACATAAGCAGAACCATCTTTATTACCCTCGGGCACTAACCGTAAAGGAAACGAGTCGAGGGAAACCTGCGAGAAGAGAGCGAGCAAGAGAGACTAGCTGAGGGCCGAAGAGGGCCGCGATGGGGCCGACGGGCCAAGTCCGCTGTCCTGTATACGTCCGAACGAGCCTACGGTGTGTAAGCAAAGTATGTGTGTGTGCGTGTGCGCATATGTGTGTGTGTGTGTGTGTTGCCGCGCGAGAGTACCGAAAGCTAAAGGGAGGGCAGTACGTCTCTCGGTGGAGATCGAGTGGCCGTTTCAGGGATCGGCCTGAAGAATTATGGTATGAAGTGGTGGGGCATGACGGTGCCGTAGGCATAGTTTGTCTTTATAACGTCTGCGCGGCCGCGGCTGAACTTCAAACGAGCCGCTGATGGCTCAAAGTGGTTGACCGGGATATAAATCCACGGCCCACCTCGCTCGTCTGCTTGGATTTTCTTTCTCTTTTGCTCTCGTTTCTTCACCGCGCCGAGGTTGGACGCTCGTCCTTCCAGCCTGCCCGCTTTGCCTCTACCTTTGCCTTTGCCTTTACTTACCTTTGCCTTTGCCTTTGCTTCTGCCTGTGCCTCTGCCTTTGCCTTTGCCTTTGCCTTTAGCTTTTACGCTTCTCCCGTGGATACGCTTGTGCCTTTTCTTTCTTCTTCGTGCCCGAACCATCTCATTCTTCTGCCAGGTGCGATATATTTCCCCTTCGAAAACCGACGCGATATATTTATTCGATGACTTGTATCCTTTGCTCGATCCGCGCTTTCTATGATAATAACGTTCGTCTCGCGTTCTGATGTACCGATCGTGTCGCAGGCTGGATAGGTTGACCCATGTTTTTTCGACGGAGTCGACGTTCGAGTCGACTATCGAATCTTGATCATGTGACCAGTGCGTCAATGGTGGTCGAACGGTTGATCGGGGGTTCTTTCTCTGTTAGACGTAATCCACTAATCGCGAGTTTATCTCGCGAGTTCCGTTTTATTTCGCACTTTCGCTCCTATTTTTGACAGGAAGACACGCATCGATACAGGTAAGAAAGATTTTGTGCTCTTATCTTTGCGAATTTATTAAATTGTCGTGAATGACGAAAAATGTTCAGAGATTCTCAAGTGACAATGACATATGCTCTGTACGTACAATTCGTAAAAGCTGTAATACAGGAATGTTAAATTTGTAAAATTATTTAGCTCAGACTCGTGTATCGATACAGGTAAGAAAGATTTTATGTTAAACCTTTGCAAATTTATTAAATCGTCATAAACGACGGAATGTGTTCAGAGATTCTTAAGTGACAACGACATATGTTTCATTCTGTATATACAATTTGTAAAGGCAAAAGCTGCAACATATGAACATTAAATTTGCCTGGTCGTAAAAAAATGGTAGAAAAATATTAAAGTCTAAATATTCTACAAATTGTTTAGCTTAATTTTCTCAGAAACTTATAATAACCTATAATAATTTTTATCCTACATTTTTAGAGTCTTGCTAATGTCTCCAGATTTATCACACTATTTTGGTAATGTCCACTGATAGTTACCAGATATTCTCAGTTTGTCAGTAGGTTATAAAAGAAACCCGGATAAATTTTTTAATTTACTGTATATTTAAAACATATAACAAATTAGGCCATTTTTAATATAAACTTGTAATATATATTTAAAGCAATTAAAAACTCTCCATCTTCAAATTACAGAAATCATCTTAAAGGAAAAGCTACAGCTATTAAAAGGCTTAAAGGAAAGGGAAAGGTACAAAAAGAAAAAAAAAAAAGGAAAAATGAAAGAGTTGCGACTGAAAAAAACTTAAAGATTGAAATCGATTAAAGGGAAAAATGGTATCAATCTTGCTGTCACAATTCGCATTAGTAGGACAATGTCGGTTGAATATTATCAAGTAATGCAAAGAGTTGAACCAGCATTTTCTTCTGGTACATTCAACATATCCGGCATTATCAGCGTACCGTTAGTTGACAAAGCACGATCATTATTCAAAAGGACGCGAGCCTGGAGGGCGGCAAGCAGTTTTGTAGCGGAAGACATTGGACAAATGGGGTTGTTCCGTGGACAGGCAGGTTATCTCGGTCAGTCGTCGAGTAGCCACCCCACTAAATCACTCAGTTCTCGCCCTCCAACCCGACGACCTCTGCCGTTGGCACTCTCAATCTCGATAATGTCTGAAAACATCGGCGTGCCACGTTTGTTTGAACTTCCTTGAGAACAGTTTCTTTTTGTTTCGTTTCATGTCAAGCTATGCGTCAGATACAAAATTCACAAGTAATTTTTATTTAAAAAGTTTTTAGAATTTTATACATTTGAGTTTGAATTTAAACGTTATTTGTGAGACTTGAAATAGTAAATTTGAATTATGAAAAATACAAGGAGTCTAGTAAAGCGTTGTCTTCTTCAGATTAGTAATTGCAATAACTGAAATCTCAGCTTTATTTATTTGATCTATTCAAAGTTTATGAAACTTCTGTGGGTAGAATGGGATAATAATATCTTTATCTTTCAACGAAAAACACAAAGTACATTTACATGAAAGATAATAACGCAATAAACACAAAATATTATATTGAATGATAAATCAGTTCTCTCTTTTTACACTCTCTTCTTACTCTCTCACTCTGTCTCGCTTCACCTATTGGTTCTAACTCTCTGGCTCTTCTGTAACGACTAACTGCCCTAGGACATTCTTTAAAACAATACACCAGACGGGCCTTTCCCATATCACATTACACCATAGACTTCATAACTATAGACAAAAGATCTCTCCCTTATCCAACAACACTGACACTCACAATTTCCTTTAAGGAATTTTTTTAAGAAGTTATTTCAAATTCAGCAAAAACCACCGGTCTGATAAATATCCTATTAAAAATAAGCAAATGTTTCTGTGCTTTTGAATGATAATGAAATTTAGCATCGTGAAACGTGTTCTCACTATTGAACCCTATAGTTTTAAAAATCAACGCCTTTATCAAAGTTTGTACAGAGAACGTCAATTTTCCGTGAAAAGAATGTTCTATCGCTGAAAAGTCCGCTTTGTTAGCTACGTAACACGGCGTTATACGAATCATGAAATTAGCAAAAAAGGCCGATGACTGTAAAATGAGCATACGAGAAAAACTTTATTAATCGTTAGGCTTGAGCGTCAACGTGCTGTAAAATCAGTAGGTATATGCCCCTGTTATCTATAATAAAGAAAACGGTTAGTAGAACCTCGTATTCTTGAATTTTACGCGTTATTAAGTATCTATCAAAGTAAACGTCACTGATGTGCACTACGTAGCCTGGCAAAGCAATCTAAGAGCACTCTGGTAGAATATGTCTTTGTGAAATTATGCACACTCATTAGCACGTAATAAAACGATAATAGCACTATCTTTATACTGTTCACCATACTTCATTCAACAGTTAATGCATTCCACTTTGCTATCGGTGTACGGCGATGTTAACATTTTAATTACAAGCAACCTTTGCGAGAAAGCATTGCGGATATTTTGAGAAATTTTTCTCTGTAAAAGACGAGTTCAGAAAATGAACTGATCATTGAAAGACATTGAAAAACATTTTGCTTATTTATATTTCAGAGTAGATACCTGTGCCAATTTCTGATAGATTTTAATTTCCATTGCTGTTTTTACATATGAAATTTCTAATTACCTTTCTCAATTAATATATCATATAGTGCAAATTGCTCGATCAATGTATTATGTAATAAAAAATTCTTCATAGAAAATAGTTATAATTTCTTCTTTATCGCTCCGTATGAGTAAAAGATAAAATTTCACGTCACAAATAACGACAACTTGTTAAACACTTTATATCTTTGTTTTGACGTTATTTACGATAACACGTTCTCGTTGTCAATCAATACCTGCGAGAAATATAGTTCGAAAATTTCGCCGACGAGAAAAACACTTTTAATCGTAACATTTTAAACATGTAATATCGAATGGGAAAATTGAAAATAATTTCGTTTCGTGCAATTTTTTACAATTTGATCGCAATCACGGTTCAAACGACGACTTTTTGAGAAATATGTCACGAAATGGTTTTGAAAATTAAACTCTTTGCGCTCGAACGTTTCCTTTGGTATTTCCCTCCCTTGAATTTCTTTTACGTTTCGCCTGGAATTTAATTACAGGTTGTTTACTGTGTTTTCATTTTATTCTCTTAGCCATTTTATGAGAAAATTGTGCAACGCCTACTTTGTTCGGAATAAAGTGGCAACATTGAATTCCGAGAATTCCACTCGATGTATTAAAATACATTTCAGTTGTATGTATAATTTCGCTTCTATAAAGACAGAATTGAAACTGACATAATCTAAAATCTTTCCCATTCGTAACTCTTTGGGGTTGAATTAATAATGTAATATAATTATCTATAACTGTCTATAACTTGATTTTCCTGTAACTTGAGAGTCGATGCCAATGTCATAATTATTCTCAAACCTTGATCCATTAATGTTTTTTCTCGTTTCAGCAGAGACTGGGATCCTATTGCCAAGCATTGCTGAAAATCATGAAAGTGCGTGTGGTAACCATGGTCGAATTGGTAAGTGCGTATGACAAATAATTTGAACTACTTTTGAATATGAAACGATATCTTGAACATTTTGAATGTCTTGGTTGACCCTTTAAATTATAATATCAAAAATAAAATTTCAAGCTGAAAGAAAAAGCGAATTCGAATTTGAATTTTCAGTTTCAATTTTATAAACTTGAACTTCAATGCTTTACATCTGACATGATGTAACATCTTATAGTAATTAATGTTTACTGAAGACTGAGGATAAAATCAATCAAGGCAAGGGATTAATCTTGAGTCTTGAAAGTTTTGAAGGATCAGTAACATTGAGTTAAGTCTGTTTTCAACTGCGAATTAAAGAGTTTTAATGCTTGTAGTAAATTCATGCTAAATCATATTTTAATCAAATGAAAAGTTCGCAAAGTAAATAATCTAAAGCTTAAATTGTCATGGGTGTCACTGCTCAATGATACTATTCAAAGAGACTGTTGGGGAACAAATTATTCAGTTTAATTTAAATATCCTTCTGGTTCAAATAATTGTTTTATTTCAAAATATAATATATTCCTATATATATATATATTTTAATATATTATATTATATAACATATACCTATATATATATATGTAATATATTATATTTTGAAATATAAGATAATAGTATATACACATATTATAATAAAAAATATTACAAAATGTAATGGTATTTCAAAATATATGGCACGAATTCCATCAAAACGATAACTGTAAGGAATAATCTCTTAGGAAAGTAGGTGTGTATCTTCGAAATTTAAAGTTCGATTGATGAGGCACTTATAATGAATTACAACTGGCGCTCCGATGATTTATGTGCAATTCGCTCGTCTAATACAACCAAGAATATACTTGTATCAGTTATCTTTCCTGACTTGTAATTTACGAGCTGTCTCACAAATGATATGCCTCTTATTTAGTTGCAATTACAGTTCAATGATCCATCTGACACAGTTGCAACGTAAGAAACTGTACATATGGAAAATACTAAATGCTAATCAAAAGGAAATGAAACGCCAAAGGATGGAAACGCGTATCGCGTGTCAAAGAATTTATTGTTTCACGTTTATATCGGATGTCACACTGACAAGTCGCGGCAGATGGAATTCACGGATTCACCACGCGCAAAACTTTCTCCAGGCAATTCGTATTTTCATTTAGAGAAAATCTCAAGCACGATAAAACGTCCTTTGTGTTTGAAAACAGTATTGTGAGGGAATTAGATTTCGGCAAACGAGAATTTCTGTCTGCCACGGTGGTTATCAGTGATCGGTGTCGGTCGATCAAATATTTTAGCATCGCAATAACAGCTTTCGTCACAACACAATATTTTATAAAAAAGAGATTCTATTTTCTACGAGATTTTCGGGTGAATTATTATTTTCCTTTCTACTAGTAAAACAATTTCCAATGATTTGGAAATTATTTTAAAAGCTATTTCATACGCTGTCAACAAAGAGGCAGAACGTAATAAATTTCGCCTATTGAAGTACTTCTCCTTAATCTTTATCCCTTGCTATGCAAGAAAGGGAGAAATAAAAAGAAAAAAAAAAAGTGTTTGACCCCTTACGAAGAGAGATCGTTCGAAACCATTGCCCCGTGATAAGAGGAATCAATAAAATTATCAAATGAGTCGCACGTGTCGTCGACTGTTCTGCCGGAAAATAGGGAAGAAGCGATTGATAAAAACGGAATGATCGCGATGAGAAAGGGGTGAGCGGCGTTGGCAAAGGCAGGCAAGCGGAAGACGAAGGAGAATGGCAAAAGGCGGGAAGAAGGAATGGGAAGATAAGAGGAAAGTCTGCGAAGCACACGATGTTTCCGTGACAGAAGCAGCTTGTTTA